TTGAGAAAGAAGCAACTAAGGCCCTTGTGGTACTTTAAAAAACACACAAAATGATCTAATGTATAAAATACAGGCCACAAAACTATGCCTTAATAAATTATTAGCCTTTTAGATGTAGGTTAATGTGCTTATTAGCTCAATTAAAACCAGTTACATATTTTGATATCTCACTTTGTGGTTTACACATCAAAACCATTTGCTAAACATAATAGAGCTTGCCATCTACTTAACAATATGACATCCAAAACCAGAATTTCTATAGGAATATAGCTTGAAATTCTATGCTGCAAACAAACCACTTCTGCGAGCAAGAATTGTTGTTCAAGCTGGATGCTGGCTGATTAAAGGACAGAATAGCCTGAGATTGCAGTATAACCCTATAGAAGTGGGTATTGAAACTGATCCAAAAAATGGAGAGAAACAATGGAGCTATTTAAGGTGATTTGGCTATCATGAAAGGGGCAATGAGTATTTTTTGTTAACAATTATCCAACAAATAATTGGATAAATTGAAGGAAGAAAGATGCTTGCAAGCTTTTCTGCCTCACTACTCAGTAACCATAGCTCTTGAAATGAGAAAGATTTCAATATGTTGGAATTGTAACCTACAAGAACAGCTGCTTATTAAGAAATATCCTAGTGACATCTTAACAAGAATCCTATTAATTAATAACATTCCAGTGAAGGCAGAGCTTTTCCCTTTGGTGGTTAAACAGTTAGAAAAGAAGCTATGGAAGATTATTTCAATATAAGCAGCTACTGTAGATTATTATATGCACAGATGGAAAGATTCAACACCAACCACTATGAGCAATGGTTGTTGAAGCTGAATTTGCTACATTTTGCTAAAATGGATAAATCATTTTCTTTGATTAGGAAAAAAACATATCTACATTTATTGGTGACTAGAAGCCCTTCATGAACTTTTTGCACATAAATGAACTTGCAATTTATGGATTTGATGATTAGACTCAATAGATTATAAAAAGAATAATAATAAAATGTAACTTTAACAATAGAGGTTGAAATATATTTGTACTTATAACTGCTGTGAAGAATATCAGAAATCACTTCCTATATCCTTTTTCTTTTTTCCTTTTATTTTGTTTATACTGTATTAGTCTCTGTTAGTTTTTATTTTCTTGTTTAAAAGTCATAGATAATAAAACAGCCCTAGGGCAGATAAATGTTCTGACTCCCAAACTAGCCTTATTAAATCAAAGTTTATAGCTATTAAAAGTACTGTAAAATATTGACCACATGGAAATTCATTCATTCATTTAAATTCTTATAAATTCCTACTTTCTGAGCTATAAGGATGCAGAATTGTAAGGATGCAATGCATATGAAGCATATTCTTAAATCTAAAGGGTTTTGCTGGTGATTTGTATATGAACCATAAACTATAGCCTAGGACAAAGAGAAAAAATAATATCCCAAACCACTACAGGAATTTAATTGACATCATGCTCTGTGAACCTCTCTTCCATCTATAAGTATTTGTGGTGATGTCACAAAGATATAATCAAAGATCACTTGAAAAATAGTGTGGCTTATTTTCTTGCACTTCTCAGGATGTAAAATTTTAGGTGAAGGAATGTGATTCATGTACCACAGCGTCCTCAATTTTGTTATTGAAGCTAGATAACTTTTATTGCAATTTGACCTCCAAATGTCTTGGTACATATAACCCAATATGACCAGGATCAGAAGGTCCCATCTGAAAGGAGCCAGACTGGGAAAAGTCATTTAAAATATTTGGGTTTTTTTTTTTCCTTTGCAAGACTTGAAAAGCTATCAAGCCAGAAAATTATCTAGCTTAGGCATACTTGCTTGGCATAAAACCCCCACTGAAACCAAGCATGATACCAAATACAGTGTTTGATCTCAGAAATGTTCACTTTTGCTTTGGCAGGCCAGCACTACAGTCCCATACCAATCATATCATGGTTGTGAAATGAGTCCCATCTATTAATCTGTTGTCTTCGTTATACTGGGTATTTTGTCTTCAAAACATTACAAGATATCTCATAACTAGACTAATTCTTAGATCCAGAAGTCTTTTGAGTGTCAAGAGCATTGTCAGAAACTGGCCATCATTTTGTGGAATGACCATTTAAAAAACCATGTTCTAAAAGTCAAATTAATACAGTAATTGCTCACTGTTTACCATCCTAGCTTACCTTTTGTATGCTGAGGCACATTTCCTGACAAGCATGGACGTACAGCCTCCTTGTATTTTTATTTTCTGATTATATCCATGGAGTTATAGTGCCTCTTCCATTTTAAAAAACTAAGGGAATAAACAAAATCAAGTCAGGGCCTCCAACTGATACCAATTTAGATAAGTGTCTCTGGACCTCCTAGAGGCGCTTCATTATTTAATACTGCTTTTATAGGTCTTGAGGAAGATAACAAAAATGAACTTGCTCTTCTTCCCATATAAATGCCAAATGCCAAGACCACAATATATTATGTTGAATTTTGTATGTTTTGTTCAAACGCCTTAAGCTATGGAGGATTGAAGGAAACATTTCACATGATCTCTGCTTATGACTGTCAGACAGTATTTAAAGAGAAATATAAACTTCTTTGACTTTTTTTTCAAGCGCAATTTCTGTTATCCCTATTGTATACTCTGATATACTAGTTATAGGCATATTTTATAATCTGCAGCTTTTGCAAGTGACATGGATTTCTTGGGCCAAGTGTGTTGTTGCTGTTACCACGATGAAGATGAATTAGAGAAGAATTCTTTGATCACTGGGTATGTATTTTAGCATTTCACAATTATCTCAAGGTTCCATAAATATGATTGCAATGGTACGAATCTGCGGAAGTTTTTTGCTTTGAAAGTAATGCTGGAAAGTTGAGTATTTATATCCATCTCCAGGAATCTTCTAGCATTGTCCGTTCTGTTGCTTGTTCCCCTTGTTTTCTGTGACTCCTCTCTAATTCCAACCGAAGACAACTTGTATTCAACATGTTCTGTTCTCATTAGGCTGAACCCTTCCCTATATTTTTCTATGCTTTTAGCAAGGGACAAAAATGTCCTGTACTTGCATGGGGTCAGAGTGGGACTATCTCCCTCCAATGGTTTCTGCATGTATATTTGGCAGGGTCGGACATGCTCCAAGTACATTCATGAAGCAGTGTCACCTATTGGGTCTCAGAAGCATGCTTTGTGTGTTATGGTGCCTACCTTATACGGTAGAATGGCCTCTACCTGTAGATAGGATGGCCCAATGCTTTTGGCCTTCAGGAAAATGATGAAGATCTGTTCTTTTCCTCTGGGCACTGAGGCCAGGATTTGATAGTTTGACCCCTGGTGGATGATGGATGGATGGAAGTTTTTTATTGAGACCTCAGCAAGGTTTATTGCATTGAATGATTTTTAATGTTATTATGTTTTTACTTTGTTTGCTTCCCAGAGTTCCTTTGGGAGGTGGGCTACTACACACGTTTGTTTAATAAATAAAAGCAATATTTCTATAGCCTAGGAGATGTTTGTTTATCTCTTCTGAAGCGATCTCTTTAGGTTTAGATGCTGCCGTTTGGGCTGCATAAAGTAATGGCTTGTTATTAATATAAATAGGACAGCATCTGTAAGTGCTTTTACTTAGCTTCAAGGCAGATTTCTCCTGTTCCTGTTTCCAACAGGATCTGATCTCTTAATCTCTTGATATTAATTTCATTATGGTGGCATGTCTAATGTCAAAATATTTTGCTTCATTCTGTATTTGTAAGTTGAATCTAAGTGTTGTTCTCCTTTAATTGTAATCATAATTCCTTCTATTTACCTCTAGGTTCTAATCTTCAAATCCTATTCTATCTTTTTTTTTTTTTTTTTTTTTTTTGAGATATCAAGCTTAGCCAAAGAGCAATGTAACACAATACAGAAAAAAAAAAAAAAAATGATTACATATTACAGCTTAACCCTATACTACCCATACCTAGGGTAATAGATGTACCCTAGAGATTTTAGGGGGTGGTTATCCTAAACCTTATCCTCTTCCCAGAATCCAATTTTGGGCCATGTTTGCTCTTATCTCACACCCCTCCTTGGAATGTGCTCCTTCCTTCCAGTTAGCCTACTACATTACAAAAACATTTTCCGATGGGAAGCATTCTTATGCAATAGTAAATAACTAATTCTAAAGTTTGTTTGTAACTTTCCAAAATCAAACTTCTAATTACCTTTTTGCTGTTTATTCCAAAATAAAAAAATAAAGTTGTATTTAAACTTCTTTCATTAACAATTAAGCTAACTATGTTTTCAGATTTGTTGATCCAAAGCTTCCTGATAGTTGAAAAATAGTTAACAAGCTATGTTCAAAAGTGATTAGAAAAGGAAGTATATGAACCCTGCATCCTTTTGAAGGTGCCAACCATGGTTTGAGCAAGCTGGCCATTTCTTCTTCCAAAGCTCTAAATCACGTAGAGGCAGTTGTCTTGTGGTCTCCTCATGAGAAGCAGCTATCTGGAACACTTGTGAGCAAGTTCTCTCTTTGTCTGTTTTCAAACTTATTGCCCTGGGTAAGGAATTCTGGGATCCCATATATCTCAAAGTTGCCAAGGTTGAAAAATACTGCTCCAGAGGAATGGTGATGGATCCATTAGCAAATGTGAAGCCACACAGTCTGTGAATCACAATTCAGCAGCCATGTCTGAGACCCAATTCCCAGGCATAGACTGTTTCCCCAAAAATAAGACCCTGTCATATATTTTTTGAAACCCGAAATAAGAACTTGGCTTTATTTTGGGGGAAGTTTTGTTAATTTGGAGCACATAGAACAAGACGGGGCTCCTCTTGCCATCTTACCTGATTTCCAGCTCTGTCTCCCTAACCCTAACCAAAAGAAATGGCAGAGACCGGCTGCACATGTGTTTAAATATTTTTGGGGAGGCTTATTATCAGGGAAACCCAGTAGCTTTGAATATATCTGAACCCACAAAGTCCTCAATCTGTGCAAGGCCTTTGTATATTTTGGATGAGATAAATGGTACACCATGGAAAAGAGTAGGCTAGGCCAGCTTCAATAACTCTGTTACAATGCATTGCTATGAATTTTCCTCACACTGCCATCTAAAAGAAAATCTTTAATCTTTTCCATTTTCTATTGCAGTGACACATTTCAGTATTTCAATAAGTTACAGAAACGGCGGCAGTCAGAGGCAGCTAACTTGTGGAATGAACCAGCAGACTCCGCTCATGTGGAACGGGGAGATGATCATGAGCTTCACAAGCTGCTAGAGAAAAGGTCAAAAATGCATCGTGGGTCAGAGGTAAGTGGCCCCCACAGTTGGAGCTCTTTCTTTCATACAGAGTTGAATTTAATGATGTGGAATTCAGCCACATGTAGCCTGATATGTTGGCAGATACAGTGAATAGTTTCTTGTGTTGTTTTCTCCATGTGAAAGTGATGAAGTGTGTTTTAAGAATGATCATAAACAAATATGCTATTCCTGCCTTGAGCCAAGAAAAAAAGAGATGTAAATGGATAAATTGGTCTTTTTAAGATCATTCTGGAAATGATTGTGGCTACATCTAGTTATGGCTGGGTTTGTCATGCTGTCATTCCATGAACTGCTTTGTCCATGACTGCTAGAGCGCATAAAAATCAGAAATGTGATTTTAATTTCTCCTCATCCTCAGAGCACTGAAACTGTAGCTAAATAACACTATGCTGCACAGTGCTACAAGGGAGAGTGGAGGGGGGTGTTAAAATTTTTCTACCAAATTGGCCTTGATTTCACCTGAGAACTGCAACTTTACATAAACAGGCAAGTATTTTCTCATAAAATAGAATATAAAAATAATAAACTAAGCTCAAGATGTAAACTCTAAAATGGTCCAGGCAGATCTGGACTGCGGAGATCTCATTGCAGGAGTACCTGGGAGAACCAGTGTGAGTGAATAAAAAAAGAAAGATGTTGACCCACAACCATGTAATAAAACGCACTTTACATGTGTTATATGGTTGTGGCTAACATCTTGATCTTTATGACTTCCCCATGAATTTGGTACCAGATGGCTTTCATTGCTACTAGCAATGTAAACAATCAGGTGGATGGAAGGAGGATGGAAAAATCTAAATCTATCTATGTAGTCAGTAAGAATCAGCAATGGCATATAATAATCATTTGATTATATTTTTGTTATTCTTCTTTAAAGAGTAGGTTTAACAATTACGGTTAATCCAGAAAATTTCAATTATTGAGTGGATTAGAAGTAAAAGTATTATTACTATTTATATCAATCATTTGCTCCTTTTTCTTATACAAATAAGTATAAGGATTAATTGTAGTTACAGCCCTTAAATATGGGGAGCAGAGATCTCATTTGGGTACAACACATTTGTATCTATCTGCACATACATGCCCAAACCCATTATTTAAAGTTGGCATTTCCCTATGTACCCACCTAATTCTATTCTACTTTTTTCTTTGTTAAAGATAGAAGAAGAAAAACCCGATATATTGCAAAACAGCACTAGTCTCCAGAATAATGCTAATTTCCAGAAAGGCAAAGAATTATATATAGGTCCAAAACTATTCTTAAATGAATAAAAATAGAAAATTACTCTAGCCCAATGCTTGCTTTGTACGTGTATATCTTGTAGATTTAAAAGAGTTGCAAGGATCAACTTCACTGGTTAACTTCTGGTCAATGGTGTTTTATGACTGGGTTCAACCATTGTGATAGTCATGTTGTGAATGGACATGCACCCTATGTAACAATTAATTTTGATCGTGTATAATCTATTCCCAAAATATTAATATGTTCTCCACAAGGTTGGAAATCTCTGCTTTCATGCCTCTGTAAAATCTAGCTCCTCGCACGCACATGCCTTGCCCTCCATAAGAGCTTGTATTTTGCTGATCTGTATAATTTGGAGATTCTTTTTTTCCCTCTGTTCTCCTTATTCTGATAAAGGGATACCGACGTTTGAGCTTTGACATCATTGCCCACCGACAGATCCGTCGAAAGGTAAAGGATCGATGGAAACATATCTTGGAAGTCTTAGGTAAGTGTCCCGATAGTGAATATTTTTTCTGTCAAGTTAGTTTACTTAACTATTGTATAATCTTTTATTCTAAAGGAAAATTTAAAAATTATAGGCAGGACCTCAGACACTGTTTCTGTTGTTTCCGATTGTTGTTTCCGATTGAAACATAAAATACCCAGTAAGAATAAGATAAATGTTGTTTTTTCATTGGCTGAGCTATTGTGGGATGTTAACTAATATCAGCAAGTACAGTATCCTAGATTCAAAGAATTAAATCTGTCATTGTCTATTGAAAATAATTGTCAGTTGGTTGTCTCTGCAATTCTGACAAATAAAAAAAAAAACTATGGAAAGAAGGCTTCTATGTATTTTGGCCATCTGAAGGGCTTTAATCCCAACAAAAGTTGTTATTTTTTTAAAAATCTAGAGAATTAAATAGACTATATGGCATTTTGACTTATTATATGATATTGCAAGGTTTAGTAGGCTTTGATAATTGAAACAGGAATTTTCAAATTATTCCAGACCACAAAGTCTGTTAGTTTAAAAAAAAAAATATTGGAATCCCTAATCAAGAGACAGAACAGTAGTGATACAGAACTGGCAATCTTTAAGCAAATTTATCTGTCTGTCTGCTTATCAGTTTCTCTTTGTCTCTGGATGTGTTTAAACTGACCTAAAAGAACAATATTAAGCTAGTAGTTAGACCTGGGGGAAGGGGGGAATATCCTGCTTCTCACAGTTTAGGCTGATGCTAAATTTGGGCTGCCTGACCAGAAATTACTGTAGGGTTTCCCTTTACATTGGCTTGTGTCTGTGTCTATCTTGAAATCAGGCTTGGCTCCTGGCAACTCCTGGACTAGTCTCTTCAATCTTCAGTCTTTCTGAAATGGTTTTCCATTGCCCTCTTCCTATGGCTGAAAGTAGTGACTGGCCCAAAGTCAACCAGCTGGCTTCAGGGCAGTTTCCTGATGCTTTTGTTGCCTAATGCTTTAACCACTACATCAAACTGGCTCTCCCATTGAATTTGGGGGGAAGCCATGCTTCGGTAGCTTCATTTTTGGGTTCTATAAGACTTGGTACAAGTGGAAGATGGAATTGTAGAAATTTCAGTTACACAGGGCTATAAGATTATATAAATGTTATTATAAACATTTTCTATCAGTGTTTTTACTTTCATTGAGCAAGGTGGCACTGAAAATCTAAGGTAGAGATTTTTTGGACCTTTTCAAACCACAAATGCCATTCTCCCAACCCTTCTTCCATATCCCTGGATTCAGGAATAACATTGAAAACTGTTTTTGATTTCAATACAAATGGGAGGATGGCAGACATCATTTTTGGTGTAATTGATGTTTTGATTGATGTCCCTTGTTGTATGCTGTACCTATCTGAACTTTAAGATCTTCTGTAACTTATTTTATGGTAGTTAAAGTTAGCTGATGATTACGTTGAACAAAGCCTTTTCTTTTGTAGCACATTGATTATAGAGGACCCCTTGGTGTCAGATAAAAGCTTTTTATATGTTCAAAAATGACTAAATTGCAATCTGAAATTTGGTGAAATATCTTTGTATATTTGTTTGAACGTGTATTTTAATGTTGAATTTTCTGGCAGTGCATATAAATACAATAGAAGATCATTTAGTGAATTGCTATGAATGAAATATTAAGGCTAATGATATTTTTTCAATATAGGATTCAAAGCTGAAGCAGATGGCCTACTTACAGTAACTTCCTGTACTTCCTATGAATCTCTCCGCAATCCTCAAGAGGCCTGCAGACTCCACACTATCCTGGCTGAACAGACATCAATTTTTGGTCATCATCATGGCGGTCCACCAGAGAGATATCTCTTTGTCCTGGTGAGTAGGGAGGAAACTGTAGAGAATACACTGTCTATACAGAAGAAGCTCTGGATATTACTCACAGCATCATGGAAACTATTTTGGAGGGTGAGAACAGCAGCTGCATCTCTCCTAATTAATTGAAATTTGATGTAGGTCTTCCCATAATGGTTAACCTAATGTGAAGCCTATGTAAGTTATTCCTTCTAATGTACTTTGTGGTTTACGTCCTGGAAAAAGAAAAAAAGATTTTGAAATGTGCCCTGAGGCAAAAGCAATCCATTTTAAAGTGGACAAGTGTTAGAAGATATTTGGGGCAACTTTAACAAGAGTTGTTACTATTCTGTCACCTCAAGGAGGTCATATGAACAGCAGTAAGAATTAATCCTTAAACCAGGGGTGAAATCCAGCAGGTTCTGACAGGTTCTGGAGAACCGGTAGTGGAAATTTTGAGCAGTTTGGGGAACCGGTAGCGGAAATTTTGAGTAGTTCGGAGAACCGGCAAATACCACCTCTGGCTGGCCCCAGAGTGGGGTGGGAATGGGGATTTTGCAGTATCTTTTCCCTGCCACACCCACCAAGCCACGCCCACAGAACCGGTAGTAAAAAAAATTGGATTTCACCACTGCCTTAAACCATCATCAACCTAACTGAAATCATAATTTGTGGAACACAAATATTATATTATATTATATTGTATTATATTTGCTATATATTTATAAAAGATATTGCAAAATATAACAAGAGAAATATCAAGGTCTAATACCCTTTTCGATAGAAAAAGATGACATATCAAAAGGAAGAAAGAGACAAACATCGGGTGATGGGATTGAGAGGAATTCTATTTACAGCTGCTATTGTCCTGCTCTCAGGATGCTGAAATAGGCAGATATGTTTCTGAGAAAGTTAAAGAAAACAAGATGGTGGCCGGGACCTACAACTGAAGCCCTGTGCCTTTTTTAATATACATTGCCTGTGCAACTGTTAGTCTGCAAGGTCATTCTGACAGGAAGCCCAACTAAAGTACTAACTCTGTCATTATTGTAAGGTTACATTAACAGAATCGGGCAAGTCTGAAAGTATTTCCTTTTACTCTCCAGAAAACTGGGAATGGTTCCTTCTGAAATATTTCCACATTCTCCCTCCTTCTATGGGGTTGATACATCTTTTACACACCAGTTGTCCAGTCTGTGGCTCTCCTTTCTGTCTCTCAAGATCATTTCCACAGCAACACTTGTAAAAAGGAGGGGTGTTTGACAATAAGGTCGTTGTCCAATGACAATAAGGTCCTCCATCTTGACCTTTTTCATGCAGCCTTTCCACAGCACCCCTGGATGTAGGCCACCAGATCCATGCTTCAAAACTATGGATGACAAAGACAGAGTAGCAAAGACCTTGGATTTTTCTAGATCTCTTTGCTGCCATCTAGAAGCAGGAAATGAATACTATTTGGTGAGAAGGATAAATCATTCCTTTTCCAGCAATGCCAATGGAATAGTTGTTGTGGTTCCGCCATTCCTAATAAGCCATATAGGGAGGGAGTTGAAAGTTGCTAAAAATAGGGACTTGAAGCAGAAGTCAGAGAATTTTCTTAAAAACTCTCCAAAGCCTGTTTGGCTTCCATACTTTTCTGGTTCTCCCTAGCCAATTCATTGAGAAGGTATCTGCCTTGTGAGGCATGAATGTGGGCCTCCAGAAAGGGAGTAAAAGAATCTTTTCTGCTCCATTTCATTCCAATCGCCTCTCTTTTCCTCAAAATGTGGATCTGTTGTTTCAGTCTCTGCAAATGTAATAATACATTTTTATGTCAATGAAATGTCACCTTCATTGAACTGATTTTATTTGTTTGTCATTGTGCTTCTGTTGTATTAAGTGATAATAAGATCACTTCCAATCCCTTCTTCCCTTATTCTGCTGATAACTAGACCACATTTCAAAATCAAAAGTTATCTCCTTCTGTTTATGACCAAATAAAATTTGCTAAATCTTCCTTTAGGAAAGATTTAAATGAAATTCTTCAATCTGTCTGAAATGTTAATTTTCTTAGACTCGCACCAGGAAGGATTCCAACATGAATTCGTTTAAGCATTTTTTGTTCCTCATTCACACTAAAAATGTGGAGGAATCACCATGAACAGTATTTTAAAAAGTCAAATAATGAAAACTGGCAAAACTAATACTATGTTTAACAAAACATTTGGGAGACCTGTTACCGCAGAACTATTTCAGAATCTTTACCTTCTCTTTATAATACCACACAGCTTTATAAAACAGAAATGTAATGTAATCTATGGTTTACTGCTAATTGGGATTTTTGTGATTTGAGTAATTTCTTATCATATTTTTGATGTATTTTTTCACCTAACTGTGCTTCAATTTATTTATATTCTAATTTCAGGACCGGCTTGTTCTTCTTGATGTGGGAGATGATTTTCTGTCAGCTGCACGACACTTTTATCCTGCAGAGGAAGAAGAAGACAGCATGTCTTCCAGTGATGGAGGACCATCTACTCCTGGTCCTGTCTTAGTACAATTAAATAATGAAACCCCAAAAGAGGCTGAAGTAGAAGAGGGGGAGGAATTAAAGGAGGACTATACACATTTTGGAGAGGCAAAAGGAGGAAATTGACGAATCTAAGGAAAGTACCATGAAGAGAAGTCAACTCAAATCATTTAGTATGGATCTATGAAGGATTAGAGCAGGGGTTCTCATCCTTCATTTTTTAAATTTCACCAGTTATCATAAGAATTAGGATCCACATAATACAAAATAAAACTCCCCATACACTGACAATGACAGCTGTATATTTACAAATAATCTGTTACTAAATTTATCATGTACAGTAAGTTTGAAAGACTTGAAATTTCATATAGTTATTCTGTGTCCCATCTAGAGTGCTTCTGAATCCCATTGATGCCATTAATAAGTAGGTAACTTACATTATGGACTTTTAAAAAAAGTTATTTTTCATAGAATAAACTTACCTTTCCTTATTTCCTATTTCTTGTTTTCTTTTTGTTATTATAGCACATTATCAAATCATCTTTGAAATTTATACTATAAATCAATCACTGTCCCTTCTAAATGATAAAAGTAGGAGGTGGTAAACATTTGGGGGTAAATAATGAAGCAGAACTATCTTTATTTTCTCTATAGTTTAATGTCTCCACACTGCCCTTTGCTACTTTTGGCTGATACCTTATTTTGCATTATGTTCTACAAGATTCAGAGTCATTTTATATCAGGTGCAAGAAATGACACAAGGAGCTGATCAGAGTGGTATGTTTATTGCAGCTTGTCTATAGAAAGGAATCTAGCCAGACTAAATCGCTCAGCACACAACCAGTAGATAAACACTGTGAAAATTTAGGGACAATCTCTTTTCAGCTGCTTCCTTCCCATCAACTCAGTTCTAAATTCCACCACATTTTACTTTTCATTTGTGGTTATTTCTTACACATGATAGAGGTTGAGAATGAAAAACGTAAATGAGAAATGTAAAACTCTCCAAAAATAGCAATCACATCACCCACCTTTCTTACCCAACACAATAAGCCCGCCTTAGAGTTTCTTGTATAACACAACAATATTTCATCTGCATGCAAGAATGGCTTCAGATACCATGCTAAGCCATGATTTAATTAACTATGGTTTGTTGAACAGGTCAGAATTCACTAGTTCAGCATTCTAATTGATTTGATTTCGCCTCTCACTGTATGAGTGGACACAAGTCTGTGGTCTTAAGAGGCCATCTCTTTAAAAAACCAAATGTTTAGTTTAGTTTAGTTTACTGCTGGGCCTTTTGACCAATGCTGCAATGTGAGCGCCCCAGGTCAGGTCTTCTTTTATGATAACATCCAGAAACTTAAAACTGGCCACTTGCTCCACTTGGTCTCCATTGATAACCAAGGGCTGGATGTCTGATCTATTCCTTCTATAGTTCACTATAAGGATCTTGGTTTTATTAGTGTTAAGGACCAAGTTATTGACTCCACACTAGGAAAGCAACCGGTCCACCTCATCTCAATAGACAAACTCATCCCTGCTGGAGATGAGTCCCACCACTGTTGTATCATCTGCAAATTTAACAATAGTATTACTGGCATGAATGGGAATGCAGTCATATACACAAAGAGTATAGAGTAAGGGACTCAACACGCAACCCTGTGGTGTACCAGTGTTAAGAATAAGGGCCGAGGAGGTATGATTACCTAATCTGACCCTCTGAGAGTGGCCAGACAGGACATTTCCTGGAAAGTGTTGCCCAACCTAGTTTAGCACAGATGTGAGCCTGGACAATTGTGCTTTGTTAAACAAACCATCACAGAGCAAAACCAACCACTGACTAATGACAGCTTACAGTTTTCATTCTATGCATCTTCATATCATGGCACCTCTTCAGCCAGAGGGTGAACCATATGACTTTTTGGTTCTGTCACCAACTTTAAAACTGACTACTATGTTTTCAAAATTGGTCATGCAAGAGAAGCCAAGGCTAGAAGTACTGTATAGCCTCATGGGAATAGTCTTATGCGATTTAGCCTTTATTATTTGTTAACTGTGTGTATGCTAAAATTCAAAGATTAACAGATTAACAGAGTTGGAAGGTACCTTTAAGTACATTCCTAAGGGGAAATTACCTTTGACCTCCAGGAGGTTAAAAAATATATATTAGCTCAAAAATGAATTCAGATAACCAAACTCTGACTAAATAGGAGATGAGTTTTATATGCAATATTTATATACATTTGTTTCTATAGATACTGAATAAAATCTGAAAAAATGTGTCAGTTGTGTTGATTTGCAGGATATAAACAGCATGAAGAGTTCAGCTTTTGGCACAGAACATGTGTATATGAAGCAAGCAAATGATGGGGAACTTTAGTATACAATATAAACTTGACATGCTTTCATCTGTAATAGTGTTTCTCTGTGCTTTGAAAGATGAATCCATTTTATTTTACTTGTTTTTCCCTAGCCATAATTTCTGCTTCCTGGACACCTGTTCTTCTCTCATCATGTCTTTCTTACACAATCTCTGTGAACAAATTGTCCCTGTCGCACAAGTGGAGCTTGGAGACAGAATTGTGGCTGCTTTCACTAATCCTTCTGGCTCTGTAGCTAAATAGCAGAGCCTCTAGTTTCTCAGAGCAAAGTTTCAACTTTCACTTCTGTTTTCTCTCCCTACACTTCGTTCACCTATGTGTCTTCTGCAAAAGCCCAGCAGGTTGGTGCTTAAGGTCCAGATCATAGAGGTCAAGCATCAACAAACAGAGTGAGAATAAATTAAGGAAACATTTGGGCTTGCTGCTCCTGGCACAAACTTCCAACTCCTCTCTCACTATCTACTCCATCAGCTGCCAGCTGTCAACTAATACACACAGTTAACAAGTCTTTTATCCAGTTTGTTCTGAATGTCTTCTTCCTTATCAAGGGATTTGTGGTTTTGCACTTTCCCAACAATCTTGACCTCCTGCAAGGGATTCTGAGTGTGGGTGAGAGTAAAGGATATCAGCTGTCAAACTCGGGTTTCAAGAGTCACACACAGAGAGGGAATCAAACTGGAGTGAACATCCCTTGTACATGACTCTGTGCTGCAGTTGCTTTGAAATGGGCTGATTTGGGCTCAGCAGAAAGTTAGCATTTTGCCATTGCATGTGGCAATCACTGCAAATCTGAGCTGAGCAATGAGCTCTGGGCTTTCCCTATTTTTGTCTCCAGTGCTAGGAGAAGGAACAACAAAATTCTTGGTATTTTATTTCATACGATTTAGAACTTGAGGTTTAAAACATACACTAGATTATTGGTGCTTAAATTGGCTGCATTAAACTGTTTTAAATTATAATTCTTTGCTCATATTTTTATTGACAATTATAAATTGAGAAACAATTGTTATTGTGGTTTATTCTCCTTACTTGAATGAAAGAAAAAGTAAGATGTTACTCAGAAAAGTATGAATATAATATTTAATCATAATTTTTTGCTAATGCAAACCAGATATTGCCTACCATTCTAGACACCATCTAGAAATATTACACAGTACATATTTTTAAAGGGGATAAAAATTGAAACAATTAAGGAATTGGACACAGTAAAGACAGGAGACAGCCCTATCTATAATGTTACCTTTGGTAGCAATTTCCTGTATTTCATTTCTTAAGTATTCTGAAGCTTGTTCAGCACAGAGAAACTATTTCCTCATACAATGATTTATGGAGTTTACTGTGTACCACCACATTTTAGTGGTGGTACACAGCCCCTGGTTGAGATATCTTGAAAAGACTTGAAAGGAGGACAGAATTATCAATATTGAGTATTTGTTACATTCACTGGGGTTCAGAAGCAGTTTAACTCCAAATTCAAATGCTGGGGGCTAGGACTAGGAAACCATTAGAATTCTTCATTTTTTACTAATACAGCTATCAGATTGGGACTGCAGAAATCTGTACTGCAACTAGACAACAGCAAAATTGCTGGTCTCTATATATTTTTGCTTCCATCTAGTGCGGCCTGGATATTTGTCACACTGATCTGGAGTTTAGAAAAATATGCTCACAACCACATCAAGAAATGTACTGTCAGCTTTTGCTGAAAGCCAAGATAAAACTCTAAAGACTTAGTTCAAGCTTTCTCAGTCTGATACTCTCCAGATACTATTGGTTCTACCCAAAAGTCCCAAAGTCCCTTTGGCATTTTTGGAAATGTACCTATGAGGCTTCAGTTGCAGAAGGTAGACCTTTCCTTTTTTTTTTTTTAAATAAAAGGTTTTTTTTATTTTTTTAAACAAAAACACATACAACAACATACAATGTATTTTCTTTGAACAGAGTATTTGGCCGGTTCACAAATTTAAACAATGTTTAGTCATTTCGATTAAGTTTACAATTTCTATATTTCCTTTTTTCATATATTCCTTGTCTATTTTTTTTTTAAATAACCAATATTACCCTTCATTCTCATCTCTAATCTTAATCATAATCAAATTCAATTTTTCCCTTCTCTCTATATTATACCCCTTCCCATTGTCATCTATTTTTATATCTATCCTTACATTAGTTAGTTATGCAACATTACAGCTGTTTAATATAAATCCAACATTTTAGTATAAATCAGTTAATTATATAACTATCTTTTTTGGTATATTAATCAATATAAACATAAATCTTCCAATTATTTCCATGCATTCCAATTTCTTACAAGTCAATTAGTTACTGTATATTTACCAATAATAATAAACCAAATAATTCCCCCCCTTATGTTACTCATTAAACTCTTCCCAATAAGACAAATAGTTTTGCCCATATAATCCTCCAAATCACAACTTGTTCATTTCTACTTTCATCACAATATAGAATTAAAAATATTTCAATCATTTCAATCATTTACCTAATCAGATTTAACAATGTTCTAGCTGTTATCCAAGCTACAAGGTAGACCTTTCCTAATGCCAGCTTACAGCTCTGCCTTTTGGATGGGGAGCCAGAATAGATGACCTTGTAGTCCCTTCTGACCCGAAAACATAAAAGCAGATGTGCTGAATTACACTGAGTTCTAACTAGCTCAGCATCCTGTTTCCAGCAGTAAATGTTGCTGATCTGCCCCAAGGGAAATAAAGAAGAAACAGCTAA